AGAAATGAGCGCTCGCTTCGGCAACACATATACTAAAATTCTACTGGAGGGCCGGGGATTTAGTTCAGTGGTGCCGGCCAACTGCCTTGCAAGCACAAGGTCCTGAGTTCAATCCCTGGTACCAATAAAAAAAAAAAAAAAACCTACTGGAAATGAGTTTGCATCAAAATATAGGGTCTGGAATAGAGCACAATTCTTTCAGTGTGGAGCACACACTTCTCTCCAGCAGCTGCTCCCATTAAGGATTATTCTTATGACTGAATTATCTCCTTGTCTTCGTGCTGTTAAGAAAAACAACGCTGGTGATCAGCTAAAATATCCAGATCACCCCCTCACCCCACCCTCCAGTACTGGGAATCGAACTCAGGACCTTGAACTTGTGAGGTAGGCAGGGCGCCACTGAACTAAATCCCCGCCCCAAAGATACCCTTAGAGCCCAGAGGGTGGAAATGCCAGGGATCAAGCCAGGGGCTTCATACATGCAAAGCCTATGCTCTACCATTGAGCTTCATCCCCCAGATCACCTTTCAAATCAAATTTCCGTTTGCGGCAGGTTTTCAGTCAGCAAACTGAGTGGTGTCCTTGTAACTTTTAGGTGAACAGGGCGACTACTTCCGGCTGCTGCTTCCAGGAACCTACACCGTCACAGCCACAGCCCCTGGGTTTGACCCAGAGACAGTGACTGCAGTCGTGGGTCCTGCAGAACCAACACTGGTGAGTTCGGCTGAGTCTTACACATCCCTTTAGATGTCACTTATACCATGTCTTCAACAACCAGTTGCATAGTTGTAATCTTTGCCGAGCCTCCCTTGTTCACCATTAAAATCCATTCTCTCCTATCCTCAATTTTCATTTCTCCTGTTATCTCTGTATCCTTTTGGCTTTTCCCCGTTCTTCTGTTCAATATGGCACTGCAGTTCAAAGCACTGTCTTGTTTTAAACCCAGCATATTTGCTCACAGAACTTGGATACACTGCCTAATCTCTTATCCTTGGTGTTTTTCTCAGCAACCTGGAGCTAATAGAGCCTCTTTTACAAGTGTTTGAAAAGAGAAAGTGCACATCCAGCATTTAGTAGTGACTGACACATAGCAAGCACTTCACAAAGGTCAATTTGTAAATCCTGGCACCTTGGCCCAGATTCTCGCGCCAGATTCTCTGGCTGTAATCTTGGTTGCCATCGGAAAGGACTGTCACCAGGTGGCGCTCTGCAGGCTTTAGGCTCCCGGTGTGCGCCTGCGCAGTCCCGGTTTTCGTTTGCTGCTTCTGAAAGCCAAGGGCTTCCGGCCCAGTTCTCTGTGGCTCTGTATTGAAAGGATAAGAAGCACAGAACTGCTTTGATTCTTGGCCTGGAACTTTTCACTTTTCAGTTTAGGGAATAGTAGAGTCGATTCTCAAAAAATAAGGGGCTCAGAAGTCATGTACACTAATCCTTAGGTCTCTCAGATGAGGAAAATGTAAAGTATCCTATTTAATGAGCATCTACAGACCTTATTTCCAAAGCCAGTGCTTTCCTAGGGCCTCCTCATTCTGTCCCCTTCCATCTCTAACGGCTCTAGAGTGTAACCCGCCCACCCTCTCCCTCTTTATCAACACAGTGCAGTCCAGCAGCTCATCTTTTTAAATACAGCAATAGGAACTATTTATTGAATAGGTGCTGTGTATCAGAGTCACTGTGAGAGCTTTCCAGAATGACCTCCCTGAACTCTCACAACAATCCTAATAAGGTAAACAAGCATCCCCATCTGTGCCCAAGGAATCTGAAAGTTAGAAAAAATAAGACAGTTGTACAATACCACTCACCGAGAAAGTGGCGGGAGCCAGGAATTAAAACAGGACAGGCTCTTTGGGCTGTCTCCTAAGCTAATGCATCACAGAGCCACAGTTAGTATTCTCAACCCTTATTTTTAACATAAGACCAGGGTAAAAAGTTATTGAGTCATTTGAAATTCTGAAATTTCTAGGTAACTCCGGACCTCAGCCCCAATACTACCAACTCTTACACATTATAAGTTACTTCTGTCTGCAGATGCAGGAAGAAAAGTGATTCTTTAACTGATCCCAGTTTCCCAGCCAGTGCACCCTCTCTTTCCCTTTTGCCTTGTTACACCCGAAAATCAAATCACCATGGGGCAGCTGCATGCAGGCCTTGGATTACAAACTCATCTATTCAATGACTAAACAGCTTCAAGCTTTCTTAGGTGACTCACTCTCTTTCAGAATAATTCACCTCTTTTTTCATATATCCTTTAAATTAAAAAAAAAAAACAACCAAACTTCATTTTGTCAAATGTAAGTCAGAATGGGGAAGTGGGTCATGGGAAACAATTCTCAGATACAGTGACAACTAAGAGTCTGTTTATTGATCACAGTAGTCTATTTCTCTCCCCATTCTAAAGCAGATAGCCATCTGGCTAAAGGAAAAAAAAAAAGAGATTGTTTACCAAACGGATCTCTCAGGGTCCAGTGTTCTCATTGCTTTTCCCCATGACCTTCCAGATGTTGTGGCTTCTTTGCTTTTCCTGTTCTCTCTCTCTCTCTCTCTCTTTCTCTCTCTCTCCTGTTCTCTTTCCCCTGAGTGGGCCACCATGCTGCCTCAGCTCCTTAATAAAGATCTCTCATACGGAAAAAAAAAGCAAGCATAATTATATGACTGTCTAATAATTCTACCATCTCGCTAAGCCATTTTCCTGTCACTGGACATTTCTCTCTCTCCCCCCCTCTCTCTCCCTCTCTCTCCCTCTCTCTCCCTCTCCCTCTCTCTCTCCACCCCCCCCACTTTCCCTCCCTCCATCCTTTGCTGAATTTCTGCATCACTTACTAGGAAATGGTAAATGGTATAGTGCAGTTGACTCTGACTCCCTCATTCACCCTCTTAATGAAGCAGCAGATTTTTGTAGAAAGGGCAGGAAACAGCTCCACGGAGGGGCCTCCCAGTCAGTGCCCTGTTTTTAACTCCCAGCTGGCTTCAGCAGCTCAAACTGTTCCAAGGGCGGGGCAGCTGGGCCTGCCCCAGGGGTGGTGGTGAGAACGCTGCCACTCCCTCTCCTGCTGCTGCCTGCGAGGGCTCTGCTGCTCCCCATACATCCCTCAGCCAAAAGCTTCTTTTCATCTGTGTGCACGGCCGGAAAGCAAGCCTCACCATTCCGGTCAAAAGGATACACTGATGCCCAGGGAAATTTAGGGTCCCAGGATCTATCCTGACAGCCTGTATCATCTCCCCGTCTCTGTTGCCAAACTGTGGCACAGGTGAGGGCCTTGTTGGCAGGCCTGAGCGAGCCCCTGTGACTCACGCTGTCAGCACGAAGGACATGGATACATAGAACACCATCAATCATAGCTCTTGTTCTAAGCAACAGAATTGGTGAAATCATAGTTTAAGGTGTAGACATATTTTTTCTAATACAAATAAAAGTAATGCATAATTAGTTCACCCAGGCACACCCTGTGTAGCTCCACTGACTGCACACCTTTTGAGAGGAGTATTAGCCCAGTTTACAGGACACCATGGTGCTGCTCTGGGTCCTTGCTGTAATAATTCTTGCACGTCTCCTGCCTCACAACTTGGGGCTGTGGTGAAAGAGAATCTGCACCGGTCTTTCAGCTTCTGCTGTTTCCCTTCCAGGTTAACTTCCATCTCAAGAGAAGCATCACTCAGGTTAGCCCTGGGAGAAGAACTCCCAATGGAGAACAGGGAGGCAAAATGAAAGCACAGCCCCGGACACCCAGAAAGAAGAATACAGCCGTGAGGCAACCACACAGAGGCCCTGCCTGAAACCCTCGGAGCCCAGGCGGCACTTCACAAAGGCTCTGCTCCTGCTTTCATATCCCTTAGGACTTGCTTTGTGTTTTATCATCTGGGACATATTTAAATATATAAGCCTACTCAGACCAATTCAGCATCTGTTCAATGGGTTTCAACCTGTTCCAGGGAAAGCCCAGTCTAGGCTGTCATTAAAGGAATCGAAAGTCAGGAATAATGGTACACGCCTGTAATCTCAGCATTCTGCGAGGCTGAGTCAGGAGGATCAACAGTTTGAAGCTAACCTGGGCAATTTAGCAATTTAGTGAGACCTGGTCTCAAATTTTTAAAAGGGCTGTGGATGTAGCTCCATGCAAAGACCCTGGGTTTGATCCTCAATACCACCAAAGAAAAGGGAACGGGGGATTGAAAACTAATGTACTTGTACATATATCCAGCAGGACCCAGAAACATTTCCAGTTCTGAGAGCCTGGCATAGGCCCAATCACACTGCATGAAAAAGACTGGTTTTGCCTGATTGGCTACTCGGTGTGCAGAGCCTAGCGCAGATTTCTGAATGATGATTGCAAAGCTGAGGTATCCATCATGGATATGGCACCCCCAGTAAAGCTCAGTGCTCCTGAAATCCTGAGGGCCATCTGCACAGTAACCAGTAGTTTCCTGGTGAGAGAAGAATTTGACAAGTGACACTTAAGAGTCTTTGATGATGGCCTCTGTGTGTGTGGATACAGCCAGTGCCACTGTGGGAGTCTCTGTGCTGGATCTGGGCCCAGTGGTCGGGTGCTTTGCAGCTTGTTGAGTTTCCCAGAATGAAGCCACTAGCACTAAAAGCATTATTGAGGGACAGGGGTATAACTCAATGGTGGAGCACTTGCTTGGTAAGCATGAAGCTCTGGGTTCCACCCCCAGTATGGCATAATAAGCAAATAAATATATAAATGTGTTACAAAATAGATGTTAATTTTGAAGAGAGGTGTGGCTTTTCAACACACACTTTGTAGCACACAGATTCATCAGTGCTTACTGAGTAATATTGGGGTTCCTGGGACTGCTGCCCCCAGCCTGGCTCAGCCTCCGTGAGACCCATCAGGCTCTGCTTCCCCCATTAGAACCCTTAATTAGCCCAGCTCTTTCTTACTGCTCAGTGGTTTACATCTCTGCTTCCTCTGATACAGCCACAGAATTCGCTTGGTTCACCCTTTCATTCATTCTGGGGATTTTATTGAGTTCTTGCTCTAGAGGAATGCAGAGACCACAGAAGGACCATCCATGCACTGGGCCTCTTCTGCCTGTGGCTGGTTCCATTTCTACTTCTCTACCGTGTTGTAACAGCCAGGATACTGGTGTCACGCTCTTTGGCCCCTTCAGTCACCACGATTGTGACTTCCGTGCTTTATGAGTTAGCCAGCCTCAGGTATTTTCTAATAGCAACACAAAACAGACTAAGACAAATGTTAAATCACAATGAAGAGGGGAGAGAGTGGGCAGAGTTGATGGCACATGAAAGAAGATCCCTTTATTTCTAGTCCAACTTTTCCCTGACTGATTCCTTTCTGTTTTATATCTAGAATTTTATCTCAAGAGAGGAAATCTCCCACACTGACTGCCAGGCTGGACAGCTGGTGTTTTGTAAGGAGATAGAAAATCACAGTTAAGGGCAAGAGTTTTGAACTCTGACAGACTTGAATTTTAATCCTACTCTGCTCCTCTGAGTCATTGTTACTCACCTGCAAACAAAATGGAAATAATATCTGACTCACTTGGAGTTTGAAAGAATTAAAAGCGATACTCTCATGAATCAGTACGGGTGGAGTGACAACTCTGTCCCCACCGTCCTTGGGGGACTATGGTGCCTCTCTGGGGCTGGCCACCTGTCAGCTGGTGAGTCTGACAGAGCATCACGGGTGTGGGTGGGAGGTGAGTTCGGAAGTGGAGTAATTTCCTGAAAGACTGAACCAAGCCCATGCCGTGTTTTTAAAAAACGTGTTAACTGCATTTACTAGAAAGCTCTGTTAGTTCCTTGCTCTTCCTGGCACTTTTCCTTCCAAACTGAACGTTTTACGACACAGTAACCCCCTCCCCATGGAGGACACAGACGACGTCCCAGTCTCCACACAGGATGACGCCTCGTGCCCTCTGGGCCTGCTGTTGGTTCCCATGAAGGTTTCGGGCTTCTGCTCAGGTGTACGTCGTGCCCACTTGTTGTTGTTTCTTTGGTGCCCAGCACTCTGTTCAGTCCCAACAGATACAAAAACATCACATATATTTTTGGAGCGGATGATCTCCATGATCACCTTCACATTTTGCTCTTCTCCTCTTTTATTGTTTTCATCTTTTATCTAATATTAATAGTGTGAAGCACTTGTTTTTCTCACACAACTCCCAGCTTCCCCGGGGGCAGTTTTGTGGCACACCTTTCACCTGTGGAGCTGATGATAACTCCAGGTAGTCAGTGTTAGTATTGAATGGAATTGTTATAGTCAGGGTCAGAATTGAATGATACGTGATGGAGAATTGGTTTTGTCATTGTGGGAAAAGAAACATATTTAGTGTTAGAAGTGTTCTGTGAATGGGAAAAAAAAGAAGCAAGATATATCATGTGCAGGTACAAATTCCCTATGACGAATGTTATCAGTATATATATCTAAAATGTACCAAAACTTTTTTTTTTAAAGAAGTATTCTGTAGGTAGAAAAGGATCTAGGTGGTAAAGCACTTATTTATTTACCTAATAAATATTTGAGTTTCACTTATGAATCAGGCCCCGTGTTAAGAATGAGAGAGACAGAGCCAGGCCTGGTGGCACACACCTATAATCCCAGCACTCTGGAGGCTGAGGCAGGAGAAGCGCTGTGAGTTCGAGACCAACCTGGGCTACGTAGTGAGTTCCAGGTCAGTCTCGACTACATAGTGAGACCCTGTCTCAAAAAAAAAAAAAAAAAAGAATGAGGGAGAGAGTGGGCCATCCAGAGAGACATGGTTTCTATCTTTTTGAAGTAGGAAAATATCTTAGTTACTTTCTTGCTGCTGAGACAAAGTACCCAACACCTGAGGCGGGTGTGGTGGCACATGCCTATAATCCCAGCACTTGGTAGGCTGAAGCAGGAGGATCGCTGTGAGTTTGAGGCCAGCCTGGGCTACATAATAGGTTGTCTCAAAAGGGGGGGCGCTTTTTAGAAAACCACAAAATGGGGTCCAGGGATTTCGCTCAGTGTTTCTAGTGCCTGCCTCGCAAATGCAAGGACCCAAGTTTGAGCCCTGATACCCCTAAATAAATAAATAAATAAATAACCACAAAAACAAAATATTCAACACCCACAAGTTCAGGGAGGAGAAGTTTATTTGGCTCGAAGTATGAAGAGGATTCAATCCATAATCAGCTGGCTCCAAGGCAGGGTGACTTGGCAGAGGGGCATCGCAGAGGAGAACCAGTTCATGGCAAGCAGAAGGACAGCAAACACAAGCAAGAAGGGAGAAGACAAGCCTCTTTCTGTTCCTTACATTGTATCCAGGCTGTCAGGATCAGGGCAGTGCCAAACCAATCACTGTACTGATTTAGTAATCACACATCCTTAATCCCACCAGCACACACTCAGGATTCAGCCACCTCTGAAAAAGCCCCACCTAGGTTGGCATGAGGCATTGGAGGGACATCTAGACCCAACCGTAACTGAGAAATTAGGGATAAGAAATGAATAAAATAAATCAATATACGAAAACAAAAAGAATTAATATCTGAGAAAAGGTGCTGAGAGAGGAAATACCAGGAGGATTTAGATATGATGGTTAAGGAAGAATTATCAGAAGAGGTGATATTAGGATGATAGGAGAAGCACAAGAAGAAAGAATGAGGTAAGACGGATAAACAAAGGTAAGAAGAAAGGCAGATGTGGTGGCCTGTGCCTATAATCTCAGAACTAGGGAGACTGAGGAAGGAGGATTAGGAGTTTGAAGCCAGCCTGGGCTACAAAGTGAGACCATATTTAGAAAGAAAGAAAGAAAGAAAGAAAGAAAGAAAGAAAGAAAGAAAGAAAGAAAGAAAGAAAGAAAGAAAGAAAGAAAGAAAGAAAGAAAGAAAGAAAGAAAGAAAGAAAGAAAGAAAGAAAGAAAGAAAGAAAGAAAGAAAGAAAGAAAGAAAGAAAGAAAGAAAGAAAGAAAGAAAGAAAGAAAGAAAGAAAGAAAGAAAGAAAGAAAGAAAGAAAGAAAGAAAGAAAGAAAGAAAGAAAGAAAGAAAGAAAGAAAGAAAGAAAGAAAGAAAGAAAGAAAGAAAGAAAGAAAGAAAGAAAGAAAGAAAGAAAGAAAGAAAGAAAGAAAGAAAGAAAGAAAGAAAGAAAGAAAGAAAGAAAGAAAGAAAGAAAGAAAGAAAGAAAGAAAGAAAGAAAGAAAGAAAGAAAGAAAAGAAAGAAGAAAGATTTACTGATACATTTTATGTATACACAATGATAACATTCATCACAGCACGTTTGTACCTGTACACAATACATTTTGGTTCTTTTTTCCCATCACCCCTTCCCTTCAACCCCTCTTTCCCACCTTATTTATAAAAGTTTTGTTTCCATTTTTTCTTCTATTCTTTCCTATCCCTTCTTTCCTGGCCCCATTCCCCTCCCTTGATACCCTTGTCCTTTGAACATTATTTTCCCGTATCCCAATATCTGTTATTCATTTTGGTCCTCATTTCCACTTTCAGTTCTTCACACCAAAGAAATAATGTGGCATTTAAACACGTGTGTCTGATATGTGTCCCTTCAGAGCATGGGCTCAAGGTGCATCCATTTAGCTGGACAGATCCCGAGTTTATCCTTCCTTCTCTGTGGCCAAGTGGTACTCCACTGTATAAAAAAGCACATTCTCTCTTTCTGTCCACCAGTTAATGGGCATTGGGCTGCCTCCAAGATTTAGCTATTAAAAACTGTGCCCCTACAAACGTGAGTGTGCATATATTACTGTGGTGTGATGCTTTTAATTTTTTTATGAAGATACCAAGAAGAAGAATAGCTAGATTTAATCAAACCTCTAGTTTTGGTTTTTTGAGGAATCTCCACATTGATTTACACAATAGTTGCACCAGTCTACACTCCCACCAGCAATGGAGAGAGTTACTTTTTCCCCACAGCCCATCAGCACTCGTTATTGGCTGATTTCTTGATAATAGCTATTCTTTCTGTAATAAGATGGACTCTCAGCATTGTTTTAATTTGCATCTCTCCAATGACCAGTGA